AGTCAAGACTGCATTTAATGTAGAGTTGTTTAAAATGATAGGCTAACTTATGAGCCTGGAAAAGAAAGAAGACAAGACCATTTACAATAGCATGTTGCAGTAATTAAGGGTATTATTCATAAGCCAGTTCCTCCAAAAAGCCTCTAAACTATTACCACCCACTCCTCCTCCCACAGCTTTACCAGTTGCTTTTTCACTTGACTATGGTGATAGAAAAACTACCCTTCAGAAGTCCAAACTTTAGGACACACATCCTGTTTTCCCTAGGCTTTCACAAGCATTACTAACACCTACATTTGATTGTATTTTGGCAGTTGTGTAAGTTAGAATCCAAGGGAATGTCTAAGTCTCAACTGATTTAATTTATTAGTGAATATTTTTTAAGACAACGCACATTCCTGTTGGCACAGGTACTGCAGCACGTACTTCAGTCGCAGTGCCAATTGCAGATTTCAGAGAGCTCAGTTTGCAGCCGGGATGTGTTGCTGTGACAGCGTTTTTCCATGTGGTATGAAGTTTAAAACTAGCGGTGCCAAGCGATCTGCCGTGCTCAGCGCAGCGTGAGAGCTCCTGGAGCCGCCTGATCCCAGGGCTGCTCCAAGGGAGCCCGGCTCTGCTCATCCTCGCACCTGGGCAGTGTCACAGGGTTTTCCTGACATTGTAGGTGCCATTTTAGGTCTTGTGGAACACGATTCGGGGGATTTCATGCAAAACCAGGGCTCAGCGCAGTGTCAGGCTCAGCTCTGCCGGAGAGGCTCCGTGCCCTCGCCAAGCCCGCGGCTCGCTTCGTGTGCGGGCTCGCCAAGCCGCGGGAGCCGAACGGCCGGGGCTGTCACCGCGTGTCACCGCGCACCGCGTGTCACCGCGTGTCACCGCGTGTCACCGCGTGTCACCGCGTGTCACCGCGCACCGCGTGTCACCGCGTGTCACCGTGTGTCACCGCGTGTCACCGCGTGTCACCGCGTGTCACCGCGTGTCACCGTGTGTCACCGTGTGTCACCGCGTGTCACCGCGCACCGCGTGTCACCGCGCACCGCGTGTCACCGCGTGTCACCGCGTGTCACCGTGTGCTCCCCGCAGCGGGGGCGGCAGCGCCCCAGGCAGCCCCGGCCCCCCGGGCCAGCCCGGGGACACGCGTGGGACAGCGCGGACACAGGCTGCCACCTGCCCGCGGGGACAGGCAAGGACGGCCCCAAACAACCCCCGCTGCCCAGCGTGGCTGCTTAAACAGTTCAAAGGAGCTTCAGTCTGAAGAGATGTGACTGGGAAGTTTAAAAATATTGAGTTATTTAGTGATCACTATTCATTCTTGGATAAACTCTTGCTGCTCCACTCCCTCAAAGTACAGGAATAGGTGTTCTCGTATCTTAGACACAGACCTGGAACCTCAGGTCCCTTTGAGACAGCCCAGATCATGGCCATCCTTCCCATGGGCTGCAGTCACAGCCATGGTCCCCACCCAGCAGAGCCAGGTGCCGGGCACAGCCAGCCCCAACAGGGACAGAGAGTGGCGTGCCAGGGGCCTCGCTGTGCTGCACAGCAATTTAAGGAGTATCATAAAATGTTCCCTGCAGTTCAGCTATCCCAGAGATGTCTGGAGAGGGATCTTCATGTCGTTTTAAGGAAGGACTAGGAAAGGACCAAGAAACATAACCCTTCCAATACTGATAATCTGGAGAATGTATCAATCCCATCACTGACTGTAGGATAAATATGCAGAAAATGAAACTGGGTACTTCTGTTTCACCAGTTTCTTGTTCACATCCCAAAGACACACATACAGGTAGATCTGTCCTGTCCTACAGCCAGACAGCCATATGGACATCACTGTGGGAAGGTGTATGGGACGCAGGGTCAGTGGTCTCCGTGTTCTGCATGCCCCGGAGGTGTGGGATGCTTAGTGCTGTCTCTCCAAGGTTTGTGCCTTTGGTTTCCTCCTGCCAATGCTTTTTGTCACTTACTCCTCTCCTGTATTTGTTCAGGACCTATTTTTCCAACATCCCTTTGGTCACAGACATTTTTTGCTGATTCCCCTCTAGGTTGAGTATACATTGCAGTTTATCACAGCTGCTGATTTATTGAGGGAGCAAGAGACCATTGTGTAAAGTGAGGGAAAGGGCTCTCTAGCACTCTGAAAGCTTTAAAAATCTTGCTTTCAGTTTGGTAGGGAATTTCAACTAAAACCACTGAAAAGCGCTTGAGAAAACACTTACTGTATGTTGTTTTGTGGTTGCTCCCACATCCCTCATAATTCTCAACCACAGCTCTGTGCTAGAGGCTAGATCCACATGGTGAGTATTTCTGCTCTTGCTAGCAGTGGGATAGCAGAAATGCAAGCTTCCCTTTGATGTCCAGAATCAAAGTATTGACAAACAGTAAGAGAGGGATGTGAGTTTTGAGGTTGTATCTTCCCTCAAAACAGGAAAACTGCCTATCTCCAAGGCTTTTCCCAATACTCTTTTATTCTTCTCAGGAATTTGTTGGTATTGTTTTCCTTTTCTCTCCTTCATACAGGAAATAAGCCTGAGATCTCACACTTCAATATGCTTGTCATGCTATCTGTGCAGAAACATTTCAGACTCCTTATACTGAGCACTTAATTTCTTAGCTACGTCTTTTCAAGAACTGGCAGCCTGCAGAATAACTTAGAAAATAATTTATTTCATATTGCAGCAGTCCTGTATACTGGAACTGTTGTCAACCATTCCTGTGTTCTTCTGATACCACAATGCATTATTGATTTTGTTTCTGTCATCTTCAGTGTTTGGTTTGTTTGCAGAGCAGCTGTAACTGCACTGCATTTTGCAGCATGGATGAGCAGCTGGTGAGGGTGTGCACAGCAAAACAGCCCTTGGAATTTCTGAACAAACATCTCACACATGGTCACTTTCAATTTGCAGGGAACTTGAGTAAGATCATTCCTCTGGCCTTTTTTCTATGTTCCTGTTCTTCTATTGTAGTTATTTAAAAATAACAATTGTTTTGGGTGTACTATTTGCATGACACGTGGTATTATTTTGCAAAGTTTTGGCTTCCTGAAGAGAGAACTTTTCTTTTGTAATCTGCTTTTCAAAACGTGACAAGTCATTCCCTGGCAAGTTTCTGTTTCAGCTTTCACTTGCTTTTCTGATGCTGTGTTTCCATAAAACAGGGGAGTTAGGGCTTCAGTTTTTTTCTTATGCAGCCCTAGTTTGAAAATTGTCAGAAGCAGGAGGCAATGGAAATCTGGATATGTTACTGCAGGTCAGCAGAACTAAATCACTTTCAGTGCCTGGTGCAATTACTTGCAAAAAGCTTGATCCAGCTCTACTCTGCACTGCTGACTGTAATGCAGACACATACAGACTCCTTTGGAAAAGTAACTGCACAATATAATAAATCCTCCTATTTGATGCACAGTGTTACAGTTAAGAACAAAAAATTATGATGTATGCTAACCACCAGAGTTAATGGCAGTCTGAGCTGAGCCCTGCAGGCCTCTCCTATAGAAATGTGACTCATTGCTCAGGGACTTTTTTTAAACCATCCTTTTTATACTGAGGTTGGGGAATTCCAGTGTGATAAAAGAAAAATTATAATTTTATTTCACTGTCAGAAATTTATGAGATTTGGTGGCTCCATTTCAAGATTGGTCAGTTCCAAGCTCCACTGGGAGAAAGCCCTGAAAGGTGTACCACCTTCATTTCTCCAGGTCAGATGCTTCACTTGGAGAGACAAAGCCAGAAGCCAAGGGAAGGAAAAGTTGAAGTCAAGCATCTGCCAACACAGCTTTAAGCTACATTCATGCCTTCCTGGAGGGGACATGGTATAGGCAGCAGCCTATCTACCAGGGCATGTGAGAGCATGGAGCTCTCCTTCCTTCCTGTCTTGGCTGTGCTTCTACACAACTGCATCAGATAAAAGACACCCCTGCTGTGCTGCTTTTCTGAAAGGCAGATATATTCTCTTTGGAATGTGGACCCTGGCCAAAACAGGACAAGGAGCAACACATCATCACAGTGTGTCAGAGCTGTGCAGATAGCAAAGACACAGGCCATTCACAGGTGTTAATGAGTCCCCAGGTGCACAATTTGGCCCATGGCTGTCAAATAATCTGACTGCAGCAGCCTGAAGGTTTCCCTTCAAAAAGCAGCACCGTGTGGGGATTTTGGCAATATAGCAGTGGATTAGACACTTAGAAAATGCAGCTAGATTAGAGGCTTCAAAGTGGGGTGGAAGGTTTTTCTGAGTGCTTAGCATGGATGGTACTTAAGAGCTGTACAACATACACTGAGCTTGGGCAAAACGTGCTCTGTGTCACTGAGACCTTTAACAGGTCAAGCCTGTGCAAGGAGCTCAAAGCTACATCCTGCCTTTCCTTTCAGGCTCCTGCTTGATGCCATGCACAGATTTTAGCTGTTTCCAAAGGCCATGTACTGCCTTCCCAGGCACCTCACTTCCAGCTATGTGGCATTTTGGAGGAACTCCACATGGCTGTGGGCACCCAGCATTGGTAGGGGTTGATGGCCAGCCTCTGGCACCCTGTGGCCAGCCTTACCTTGCCCTTTCCAGGTCTTGTGGTCAGGGGCAGCCATGGGACCCTACCCCACATGCCCAACACACTGGTGGGCAGGCGAGAGCCAGAACAGGTATCTCTTCCTGTTTTGGCTGAGTCCTGACACTGGCTGGAGATTTCCTCTAGGGAACTGATCACAGAGCCAAAGAAAGCAATTTTTCTTACTCTTTAGTCTAGAAAATCAAACCATTCCAGCAAAGTTCTCCCTTCTGTTGAAAGACTTTGTGAGATTTGCACAAATAGATGTGTGAGAGGGAAAGGCCTCACAGCAAAGCTGCCAGCATTATACTGGTCCTTTGAATTTAGGAGCTGAGTTCTCCGCACTTGGTGATGAAAGGTAAGGTGTTTTTTCATGAGAATGATCTCTTTTATTCTGATTTGTTAATCTAAGTAAAAACATGGCATCTATATACTGCACGCTAAGAAAGACAGAAGTCATGTATAATGCAGGTTATGCAGGTTTGGTTTTTTTAATGAAAAAGATGGCTTCATTGTATCAGTTTATGCATTAGAAAAGCATCATACACTCTGAAAGCTGCCTTCCAGAAATAATGGTTCTGTTGTGCTGCTAACCCTTCAGCTCCTATTTCTTTGAAGGTTTTGAACATTAGAAGAGGCTTACAAACATCGCTGAGAACAACAGAGATCATTATTTTCACCTAGAACTGGGAGCTTTTTGTATAGAAAACTTGCCTATATATACGAAACTCCATATACACACAAAAGTGCTTTTATGAAAAATAGAAACTATGTATTTGCAGCAGACTAGAATCTACACAGCAACACCTATACTTCAAATTAATCAGGTGTATGGTAGGTAATGTCTTTTGTCAAGTACTCTTCCTGGTACACTTTGTAGACTCATAAAACCAGAGCTTTCCCTTCATAAAAAGGAGGAACATCCTTTTAATGCAGGACCATGCATTTAAACCATTAATTTTCTTCAAATAATAACTTATTTCCTCTTGTGATGAATCCTATAGATAGAGTCTTATATTGCACCTTTTAGGAAACAAGGCATAAAACTTCTTTGGGTTCTTAACAACCAAAAAAGGCTGAAACCTTTTTTTAGAGGAATGACATTGCTACAAAATTTGTAATTATTCCCCTTCCATATAATAACTTACTTGAGTAGTTCAATTGAACTGCCAATGAAAATGCCATTTTAAAACTCTGTTATTTATATTAGAAAAATACTCATTCAGAATTTTCAAATTCCTCTGTGCTAGGTTTCTTCCAAATTAGCAGTATAGATTTTACTTTGCTCAGCACTCTCACTGTAAGAGTTTCTACCCTCTTGAGTGCAAATTTTGCTTTGCTCAGTGTCAGGATTATAAGACTGTCCCCCTTCCTGAGAGCTGGAAATAGCTGCCCTCAGTTTTCCCTCAATTTTATCAGCTACAGTACACATTTTTAACTCTCTCAGGCTGCTTATTAGGGTTCCATAGGCTCCCTTCATCCCATGACTTTGATACCAGGCTTGAAACAGCCTAATCTTCTGTTCAGATGTATCGCCAGGACAATCCTGAATGCTTTGGTCTATGGCAGGTTCTGATATATGGTGGTGACGAACAAATTTCTTGACATCTTGGAGTCTCATCTCTGCCACAATACCAGGAATGTGTCTGCTCAGGTCAGCATCTAGGATCATGAAAATATAAATTAATATAGCTGGCACTTTTATCTTACTGGGTTTTATCACCTGCACTCACATTTGATATTGCTATCCAAACCAGATTAAGTTTGAAGTATTTGTGACTCTGTATGGTTTACATGTGATTTTTTACAATACCTGGCAGGTCTGTTTTTACATCTTCCTGCCAGATGCTAGGTATTTCAAAGATTTAGGCTTGCAGCTATCTTGCTTTCTGCCACCTAAACCAGAGTATCAGTTCCCTCTGTAGCCTAGTCTGTCATTCTCTATCATGGAAGTATGGTCACCTCTCACGTACCTGTTTTTCTCAAAATAGTGTTGGGAGAGGTCATGAAACAGGACAGGTCTTCTGTTGTGATACAGTCTGGGAGCTTATATTTTTTCCTGTTGTGTATCACTCCTGTGGATTTTCCTCTAAACACAATGTAGATTTGTCAATCTTCAATCCCACAGTGGGACTGCTCCCTTATAAATATCCATGGCTATAGAAACACAGTTTGCTGTTTCTTAGCATTTGTACCACATGCAGAACTGAAAATCACTTGTAGACAATGAGTAATTGCTCCCTATGCAACAGAAATTCCTCCTGAGGCAAGACTTCCAGATGCCACTAAGTGCCTTGATGAGCATTATATGAACTGGCACTTTAGCAAGTGCTCATTTTTCATTTTTGTGCTGGAATGACAGGGGCAACGTCTACACAAAAACACTTTTTTTTTTTTTTTTTTTTTTTTTTTTTTTTTTTTTTTTTTTTTTTTTTTTTTTTTTTTTTTTTTTAGTTTTGGACTTTTGTATCTGTTTCTGTTTTTTCAGTCTACTGAATTTTGAGAAATTACTTGTCTACTTGTCTCTTACCTGCATATATGAGATGTTCATTCTCCTGAAAAAAAAAAAGCAAGAAAGAAATAAGTAGAAACAATCTTTGTAAAACATCATGTTTATATAAGAGGATAAATAAATTTAATGATACTTCTTTGATTTCCTTTTAGTTTTCTCCATGATTCCTGTTTTATGAGTGAGAGAGTCAGACCAGACAGACAGACCTCTTTTGACTTGGGTAAGTTTGAGGAATCACCTCCTAATGCCTAGAATTATGCATGGGGACAGGAATATTCTGGGCTGGGGAGGCCTGATGATTTATGAAGTTTTGATTGTGATCATGTGACTTAGGAAGCATTCCAACAATCCTGATGAAGTAACAAAGGGTTTCTCTTGCTTCTCCCAAAAGAATCTTTGTGGTGAAATTTACTTCATTCATGTCATAGAAAAGAAGCACACAAATATTTGGGGAGACCTAGTGCAATTTAAATGAAAAAAGTTCTTTGCATAAAGCTGAGTTTTTTATGATCAAAGCAACAGTACTTACGTGAGGTTCTGGTTTGTAAATTCCACTGATTGTAAGACCCTTCTGTTTTTTCTTGTCTGAAACAAAATAAGCATTTTTAAAATCTAGGGCAGAATATCTCTCTTGAGACTCCAAGAATATAAAATTATATTTGAATTAGCATATGAATACCTCATTCAGAGTATAATAGAAGTAGGGAATCACTTACTATAGATTATTGCTGCAGCTATTATTCCTGCTATAGCTGCAGTTACCAAAACTACCAAAGGAACGATCCACCATGCTTCTGATTCTGTTGGAACATTGGAAAATTTGCATGAAAGTTAAGTCAAGAAATGCAATACAGCAGCACACCAAATTTTAAACAAGACTGTGTCCGATTTTAAAAGCCTTCCTGTTGTTTCCTAATGACAAAAGCCAAATATGTTAAAGACGATGAGCTGTCCCTAAAAAGGGGTAACAGCTCCTACACCTGCACAGGAGAAAATCAAGGGAAAATCATACTCTGAAGTCAGCAGAGGGCAGAGAAGCACTAAACCCCTGAACTGGCAGGAATTACTATGGCCAGTGTGTAGAACAGGAAAATTGCATTTGCCTCTCAAAATACAGCACGTGCTGGACCTTGCTACGTTTTAAATGGTACCTTTTGTTCCGCATACAGTGTCTGAAGCTGGAGTACATTGTTTTTCAATTACACCACTTTCACATCTGCAGAAAGTATGAACACAAATTATTAGGGGATTTTTTTCTCTCTTAAGCTGTTGAGAGAGCAAATAAAAATCTTCTAAGATGTTTTAACAGCAAAATATTTCACATTTTGCTGACAAATATGCTGGTTTCATATTCCAAATTCCTGATCTTGGAGTTTGGAATTTAATAGATATGAAAATAGCATGGAAATTTGTGGCAGTGGGAAAACGTATGAAATTATTTTTCAATGTAGAAGTAAATCACACAAAGACAACAGGAAAGCTCAGATACCTTATTCAACTTTTTTAAAAGCATATACAGACTCAGTGGATATATAATTTTTTCTGCACACCTTTGGAAAGCCTTCATGACTGCAAATTGAGCTGACTGAACTCAGTCAGCTCAGGTGCAAAGGAAAATTAGTATGCTTTCCCTGAGGTTACAGATTACCTTAGCCCGTCTTGAAACCAGCTGGAAAAAATGTGATTGCATATAAGCAATTTCATATGTAGTGATGAAGGCATGAACTTACGTGCTACATTGAATGCAATTGTCACATCCTGCAGGACTGCAAAAATAGTTCTTTGCACAGCCACACTGCGTGTCCTCTTCTGGAGTACAGTTCTTCACAACCTCCAAACCTAAAAATAGATTTCTTAAAGTATATTAGTTTGAAAAAGCAGGCTTCTGCTCACAAAGTCTTGTCCTCAGAATCGCTGCTAGCTCCACCTCTGCTGGAACTAGTGAGGCTTAACTTTATAACACACACAGAGCTTTTCTAAGGAGCTGGGCTGACGGAGCTGTCAGAGAGACCTCTGCTGGACGAGAGCTCAGAAAACTCAACACACAATACAGCTCTCGCCAGAAGAGGACTCATTCAGAACAGCCAAATCCCAACTTTTTTTCCCCATTCAGAAGTGTAAAGCCAGAAGGAAACTCAGAAGATCACACAGCCAATCTCCCTACTTTATAATGGAGATGGGTTTTTTGCACTCCCTGACAGACAAGAAGTTTTACCTTTTCTTGAAGACCTCCAATGATGAGGAATTCCACTCTCTCTTTTTTGGCTAACATATCCAGGTTAATTATTCTTAAGAATCAAAACAAATTATTAATTTTCTCCTATCCTCATTTTGTACGATGATGCTATCTCTATCTATTAAAAAATACTTCTGCATTAAAAGTTACTGTATCTACCTACTATGAAAGCTACTTTATATGCATAGAAATAGAACAAACTTTTGAGTTACTGTGTTCAGTGCCCTGCTGTAATTTGAAACTACTTTATGTTTCAAAATTTGATGAAGCTCTAATGTGAAACCAGTGCTGAAGTAACTCATGGAAATAGCAGATATGAATGATCATAAGAATGGTTCACATGGAACTTCAGTGGTAATTTTCCTCTTGCCTACTGTCAGTCTACTGACTTCTTGTGAACTACATTATTGCGCATGGAATATTGTGACTAGCCATCCTATTACCTCTTTCCTCCCTTCAGTTTTAATAATTGTGACACATATAAAATACTGAATTGTTTTCTCTTACCACTTTCATCACCCACACAAAAATTATTTTTATAGTAGCAAATGAGAGGAATGTTTTCTATCCATATTGAGATCCTAAAGGAAGGGGAGATCACTGAAGATTGATATTCCAACAGGTGATCTGAGTACAACCATATTGGAGTTGAGAACTCTCTCTCCATTCACTAAACTTGATTTTGGGTATAAGGAATGAAGAATTATCATTCCCTAAATCCGAGTAGAGCAGATTTACAGGACATCTGGTGGAACTGGTAGGAGATAAATTTAATGGATTAAAAAAAAAAAATCTGTGATGGGTATTTATGCAGCAGATAGTGAATTTCTGCTGTCACCCAGCAGGTTCATGAACAAAGGGCTCATAAATAGAGTCACTGAATGACTAGGTAAGGATAGATCTTCTAATGTCTTTTCCCTCAGCTGTGGATGCTGATAGACTGCAGGGAACAGACCACAGAAAGCAGACAGGTTTGCTTGTGTTATCTCTAAATAGCACCTCTTGCCTCCACGGCTGAATGCAGAATACTGGGGTAGGTGGGCCACTGCCCTGTCCCAGGAAGGCTTGCCCTGTAGTCTGACATGTGCATCCCACACAGCACCATGAGTGTCTTTCAAAAGACAACAATTAACTTTAAATAACATTGTCAATTACATGAAAGACTACCAAAAAAATATCATTACTTCCAACACCCCTCTTTTAAACAGAGGGTGAAGAGGGAGAACTTGCCTTCCTTGACTCTAACCAGTTTGTACAGTATCTGCTTTGCAAGAACTTTGGCTAAGCAAAGGCAGATATATGGAGAAATAATGGACAAACTTATTTTTCTTCCTACGTTGTGCTTGATGGAAAGGAACTGGATGATAAACTTATGACTTTCTCACAAATTCATTCATGTCCTACCACTAAAAGTTTTGACTCTACATGCTAAGCATGATTAAGTATTGTGGAGACTTTTCAGTGAAATCCTGTATAAAAGAAGAGTCATTGCTGCAGTTGCTATTTCTATAGACATACCAAAGTTGCTGTCACACAATTTGCATCTAAAACACTTGTCCAAGTCATTGGGATGATTCATGAATTCCTTTCCTTTCTCACATGGAGCACAATGTTTGACAATATCTGTTGGGCAGGTGACATTTTTAACAAAACCTGTAGAGACAAAAAACCCAGTAATTTAGAGAGAAGCCACCAGCTCTAAGACTTACATCAGAATTTCATTTTTAATCCCTAATACTTTTTGATTCCAAATATGGAATGTATATTCATTGTGCATGTGTGGATGCACTTCAGGAATGTAGTATAGAAAACATTTGATTATCCCCACTCTTCCTCCAATTTAATACTGAAGGAGAACACACCAAACAAAACTGTACATGAGAAATTGGAAAACCCACAAATGTATGGAATCCTGTAGGCAAAAGCATGTGTTTTCAGTTTTTCAACCTCTTACAAATATGTGTATGTTAATTCTTGGCTCTTTTGTAACGAGTAGGTTATAAGAAAACTAATCTCTGTAGTGAGAAGTGCATTGAGCTCAAGAAATATCTTTGAAGTGGCTTATGTCCTGTAACAAGAAAATATACAGCTGGGGTGAAGCACTGCATCCAGGAAACCACCTCATGCCACTTTAGTATCCCAGCACAAAGAAATTGGGTATGCTGTGAAGTCCCCTGTTAATGGGTTCTCAACACAGTCTTACAATCATACTCACCACTTTTACATTTCTTGCAACACTGATTATCTAAATTGTATTCATCATCCTTGCAGTTAACATCCCTCCTGGAAATGATCCTCCTATTGGATGGTATTAGAGCTTCAGTATCATTTTTACACTGTGTTTCAATACTTAAGAGACCCACCTATGAGAGAACAGAAAATTAAACAAAAAAACTGTTTAGGACTGTAGATGTGCTTTAGAACTAGCAGAGTCATATTAATAGTGTTAATCTATAATTGAACACATTGATATTCACTTCCTTATTAAAACTCTTCATTACTTTAGATTTAATGGACAGTGAGGGCCCACATTAAAGCCATGAACCCTACCACTACAGACATTCTCCTTTTAAATTAGCTTACAACAGATCAATTTATTTGATTTTTTTGCAAGTCTATCAAGTTTAACTGTCAAGTTAAATTGCATAGTGCTGGGAGTTTTTTGTTTGTTTGTTTTTATTTCTGTCATTAGGCAGTGGAGCTTTACTAGTGGCCCCTGCCCTGCCTCTTTTCATGATAGTAATAAAGCACCGTGGCTCAGAGGCCAAACCATGAGTTTTTAATATTTTGGAAGAAGAAGAATGATAAAGATAAAACTTGTATAGTTTGTCTTCTCTGCAACATTTTCTGGGGAATTCTATATTTACTCTGCATGCACTAAAATGAGATATCTGTATAATGGAGCTATGGATGCTGACCATAATTTCAGTTAGATGCAGAATACCCTTTATATTAAAATACTGGGAAAACATTTTGCATATCAAACTGGGCTCTCAAGCGAAGGAAGTGTTATTTGTTGCTAACTAACTGATGCAACCATTAAGACCACTGCCTTCTACAGGTAGCCACTTCTTTTGATAATCTAGTCAAATGAGAAGGTGGAAAGAACTTTATTCCCTTAGCACCTATCTGTTTAAAATGTATATAATATTAGTTACTGGACTGAAATTAAGAAGGCCTTTCTTTGCAACTGGAGGTGAAGCTCCAGCAGCTGAAAGAACATAATTGGCACTGGAGGAACTCTGATTATAAATGCTCAGCCCATCACTTCCCCTGTTTGGTGCTCTCTCTTCCTTTGCTGCCAAAGCTTTCAGGGTGCTCTCTCCTCTGAATCTCCGTGTGATGATGTTAAAAAGTTTAAGTCTCCACAGAAGCTTTCAAGTGGATGTATCAAATTTGTGTGATTTATTTTCCTTTTTTCTAGGAGAACTATGTCACTAAACACTGGATTAGAAAGTGCAATTAAAAAATAATCATTAAAATACAGTCAGGGATGTATGACCAGTCTGGTTTGGTTTTTCCTAAAGTAGTATGAAGAAAATGCCCAGAGAGTCATGCAGAAAATAGAATATAATCAAAGAAGGAATGACATTTCTAAATTACGAATACTAGTAAAACCTTGCTGTCCGAGATCTAGAGGCAAGATGTTTTCTAGTACCACCTGTATAGCAGTTGCCCTCTGGGCAGTTTTCCTTATCTCCTGTTAATGTCTTACCATATGACTCAAAGATAACACTCTCCAAAAACCAGTTCTGTTTAACAGGTGATCAAGGACACCTCCTGACTCAGAATTACATAATCCATTGTGAGATGCTCCGCCCAGGTGGGAGGAGCTAGGCATTCTAGACAGATCCTGAAATTTCTAGACAGAAAAGCAGCCTTCCCACAGGTTTCCAAGAGGACACAGCTGGGGTTTTCCACTAGACCAACTACACCTTTTCTACAAGAGCACTGCACAAACAGAAACCACTTCTGCCACTCCAATTTGGACTGCTACCAACACGCTGGCCAAAGGGATGTCAGGTTGTATTCTGACTTTGTCAGTGGTCTTCCTTTTATATCATTGCATATATTTTGTCTCTTTTCCCATTTTTCAGTAAATTGTATTTCTGACTTAGAGTCTCTCACTGGTTTTACTTTCAAACCAGAATACTTGCTTATTTTACCAAATGCCTGAAAACAGTGTGTGCAGAGATATGTGCTCCCTCACACCAACAAAGCTCTCTGCCTCTTGTTTATCCTTTTATACAAATGGGCTATACTGGCACGAGAGGCTACAGAAACAGAACATTTTTAGATGGATGACCTCTGCTCCTGGAGATGAACTTCCTGGTACACTTACAAGAAGTGGGGGTTACTTCTCAGAATTTGACATTTAAGCAGCACCAAACACCTACATTGGCTCTGCTTGTAGGGATGTCTTACAACATCTTCATGTGGAAGGAATAATGATAAAACTGTGAAGACTTTTTTTCAAAGCATCATCCTAACTCTTTCAAACATTTTTCCTCCTGGATTTGCACCCTCTTAAAAGCAATCAATTTGCTATTTACAAATTTTGGTGTGTCTCATAGGAAAAAAAAACCAGAAAAGAGTCAATAGTCATTTAGCTTCCTGTGCACACCTTAGTTGTTTTTTCTGTTGTCACTGAGCAGTAAACACTAATACCAGAAAGGAAGCAGCTTAGGGACTTTTATACAGGCAGGGATGATAGGTGCTTTTTTATGACACGTACACTCCAGCAGTGGTTGTGCTTTCAGCCTAGAATGACTCACAGAGACTCTCTTAACTTTCTCAACCTAAAAAAATAGTTTTCGTATCTAAACTGAAGACTTAGGTTGCACTAAGCAGTCAATGGGAATAAGATCAATCAGCTGGGGTCATCTACCCTTAGCAGAACCCATGAAAATTATCATATGAGCCCAAATTTTCTGGTTTTGCTGCATTTGCATTGCCCGGAAAATGAAAATAGTTTTCTACCTGCTTCCTCTCCTTCATTCCAACAGAGTCCTCCAAAATGCTTTCACCAACAGGGCACTTTTATGAAACCTGTTTTCATCTGCATTTCCAGGGCACAATGACTAGAACTTTAATTTCTTTGAATACTCATGTCATTGTGGGATTTTCAGGCCTCCAGTTCTTCCTCTGTCAAAGTATTCATGACATCTCAATTGATTTCAACAGAAAAACTTCTGCAAGACACAGCTTCTAGGTATCTAATCTCAGCTTTGGAAGTGTGTGAACATGTAATCTGCATACAGGACTTTTTAAAACTTTACAATGTGAACCCTGAGAAAAAAAAAATCTCTGTTTTCGCCTGTTGTCTTTGTAACACATTTTATTTTTAGCAAGCCACTTCTCCCATTTCTAATCTATAAATGCTGGTGGATGAGAATATTGACGGTCACAGTATGTGGCCTTTTTTTTTTCCACTCCACATTTATTACATGGACCAAAGTGCATGAGCTCATCAGGGGCTTTCTAAGTGTTAAAAAAGGAGGAGGAGGGATTTTTCTTGCTTTTTTTTTTTGCCTCGTGGAAGTTAAGGTGCTAGAACTACCTTCATTTTAATATGCTTTTCTCTGTAATTAACCTCCCTTGTATTTATGCTGTCAGGCTGGCCTTTTCAAAGAAAAATTTTACACCAAGAGTAATCTTAAGAGGATTCTCTACTCCAATTCTTTCCCTATGACAAGAAATTTCTTCTTCCAAAACCTCCAGTATAATTTTTCCTCCAAGACTTTTTTTTTCTCCCACCAAGGCTGAATCTTAGTTAGCACCAAAATAACCTCTAAAAATAACATTTCACATTCTAAAATCTTTTATAAAAAGAACAAAAAGAATCCAGTTCCATTTTTAAAACCCCAGCAATGGGAGTTGGTATTTCCCCACAGCTAGAAGCACCTTGAGCTTCTTAAATTCCAAGAGAAGTGCATGTGTTTAGTGCCTGTGAGGGCAAATAGCCCCAGACTGTTCAGTACCTTAAAACACACTGTCCAAATTCAACCCACTACTCTTTCATATCTCAGCTGACTCATGCAAATTGAAACAACATACTGGGGCTGGGAGTTGTATGACTGGCTATTTTGTTGGGTTTTGCTTTTTAGAAGTACTGTACTACTGAGCACGGAGTAGATACTACACTATTTGGAGAGTTGGGAGAGATATTAACAGCTCTCACCTCACTTTTTTGAGGCTAAGCATGAATTAGAACTTAACAGAAATCTAGCAGCTCTTATCCTTTTCCTCATGTGATGCAAAATGGCGTTCTTACGATTTTCTCTTTGTTCTGTGAGTTACTGCAAAGATAAAGGTGGTTACTGTGGAAACATGAACAGACATGTTTCCAGAACTGGGACCCTTATAATTTTCACTTGAGTCTTGGGTCATCCCATTTTTTTATGATTATTTATGCATGTAAATATAAATGTGTGTATTAGTTTTCCATGATATGAGGAAGAAAGGTCAATGCAATAATGCAGGAGCCTTGTTTTCAAAGGTTTATCTTCTGAACTTCCAGAAAACTGCCTGCTCTGGGGTCATATCATAATTATAAAATATTTACATAACAGTTCATTCTCCAGCCTATTCCTTTGGAGAGCTGTCTTGAGGTGACTTTATGGTGGTACTTTATTCCCTGATGGCCTGCTGTGTGGCCAGGAATGGTTGAGGATGAACCAGGAGGCTGGGCTAGAGCCTGGGAGTGCTGGGTGTGGGCTCGGTTCATCTCTCTCTCTCTGGCATGCTTTGGGCTGCAACTCAGACTGTTAGTTCACTGCCTTTGCTCCATTTGTATCCTTGCTTGCCTAGGCAAGACACTCTTTTTTGTCTTTCCCCACCTTTTCCCCCAGAATTCAGTAGAGATCTTTCACTGGGTTTTTTTTGGTTTGTTTTTTCTACTTGGTCTGTTTCATCTTGCAGTCCAGGGAGCCTACAGGGGCAGTGGGAAAGACCCAGGCCAGCAAATAAAGGACACTAAACCACCCACTAAAACAGTTTCGGCTGCTGTAAAGAGCAGACCAACGCCACAAGCTCAACAGGTTCCTGTCTACTTTTTGCCCGAGCTGCTGCCTGGATGTTTTTTCTTCCCTTCCCTGAGACACAGGGAGCAGCCACCATCCTTCCTCCTGGCCACGTGGCCGGGTTGGGGGCATGGGGTATAGTGTTCAATTTATCTTTTCTTTCCCATGCCTTGTGGGTATCTTGCTTTGTTAATAAACAGGGTTTTTTTTTTCCACTTTCACCACTGGCAAAAAGAGATTATTGGAACCCTTGTCATTAGAGGAAACGTTAATTCCAGAGCATTTTCTCCTAAAATCTGTCCCTAAACTGAGACAAGTGTGTCTCTCAGTGGTATGTAGTTTTGTAGCTTTTTCTTCCTGGAGAACTCAGATGTTTTCCAACTTCATAGACAATTGCTATTTTTGCATGACTATCCCTAAATCTTTTACTTGAGCGCAGCATGGAGTTCCTTGCAAAACTGAGGTCTCATTCAACCAGCTGTTTTCATGTTCTGGTTTAACCAAATAATATGCCAAACTCTGACAAGGTTTACTATTTTATAAGCAAGGTTTCCTATTTTATAAGCAACATGCTAATTAAAAAACTTTTTAGAACTAGAAATTATGTAGGAATGCTGAAGTCTTTCTAAGGTATACTGAAATTTGGGAACAATTGGAAAATAAGAACAGAAATTATGTATTCTCTGGAGCAGTGTTACAAACAAAAGTATTTTTAATCTTAAGATGTATATTCTGAATAGTTCCAACATACTGAGCTACACTGATATTTCTGTCACTAGTTGGCTGCTGCCATACAGGAACAGGTAATACACACTTCTGTCAGCAGATGAGAATCCTTCTTTGTATTTAATTATGTGCTGATGATTTGTGCAGGGGCATGGATAGAGCTCTCTGAAATACTTCCACTATTTGACTACCTGCGATGCAGTTGATCGGATCACAATTTGAGTGGTTTGTACATTAAGACTTGATTTTAACCTGACAAACTGCAAAACAAACTGCTTTTGTTAGCAATAAGACCACACTGTGAAGACACTTGGAAGGCCAGCGTGGTGTCTGTGGAGCGGGTCACTGGGGCTGGGGGAGCGCTGCGCTCCGCGTCCCCGCCCGAGGCCGGCGCCGGGCTCTGCCGCCCGCCTCATCCCCCTCCACCCTGCCTCGGGGCAGCTCCACCTGGGCGCGGGGCATCCGCACGTCCCTGCACCTGCCCAGGCATCTGCCCTGGAGCTTCCTGCCGCTACAGCAACGCACCTGTACCAGCGGAGATCCCCGTGCTGGCCGCTGACACACTGCCTCACTTGTCCTCTTCAAAATGGATCTTTGGCAAGGTAACTTTACTGATGAGAGGGAGGCACGAGACGGAAGCTCTCAAAAGCCGCAGGGACCCACTCTGTGCACAGGCATGGCTCAGGCAAGAAGGGAAGGCCCTGCCCTACTGCTTCCAGTAAATGCTGCACGCTGACGCCGGGCTTGGACTATTCCTCCAGCTTCTCCTGGGTCACCGTCATAGCGGTTCAAACTCCTTCCCCACAGGTGTTTGCTTTTATGTGGCTCGCTGGTGGGGATCCGCTGTGGTACAGCGCAGGTCGGCTCCTAGCGAGCCCGGGTTTAGCCCGGGCAGGTCCCGCACCTCCCCTGCCGGCAGAGCGGGCTCTCTCCGCCTGCCTCGCCCGCTATGGGTGCTGCGGACCAGTGCCAGCTGTCCCCGGGTCCCCCACCTACGGCTCACGGTCCGACCGCCACCTGCATCGATCGCCCTTTTCTTCCGTCCGCTTTACACGGCACGCACTTCACTGAGCACCCTTCAGAAGTGCCTGAACTGGAAGGGTGAGGGTTTTTCCACTTAAAAGTGGCCTAACGAATTGGCAGAAATGCCGGTAACAAGTTTGTCACGGCCGGCGGCGAGCAGCAAACCCGGCGGCGCTCCTGGCCCGGCGGCGCCGCGCTCCCCGTCCCCGCCCGCCCCGCTGCCCGGCCGGGGCTGGCCCCGCCGCCCGCCCGCGGCCCCGCTCGGGCGGACACTTACGAGGAGCAGGGCAAGCAGCCCTCGGGCCACGCCGCCGCCGTCCCGCACGTTCCCCATGCCGCCGCCGTCCGGCACCTTCCGTGTGGAGCACCGGAGCTGCCCGCGCCCTGCGCCGCCGGCTCCTCCCAAGTTGGCACGGCACGGCTCGGATGGGGGCTGGGCCGGCCGTGGGGGCGGGCAGCGCTCCCGGGACAGCCCGGGCGCGGTGATCGGCCCCGGGCAGCGGCTGCGGCGCCGGGAGAGCCGCAGACACGGGCGGGACAGCCCCGCGCTCAGCCCCGCGCTGACAGGCAGCGAGGGCTCGGAGCTCCCGCTCCGCCGTCCCGGGGACTGCCTGCTCGGGAACCCGCTCGGCAGCTCGGGAGTGCCGGGCACGGCCCCGAGCTCGCCGAGCCAGCAGCCTTAGTGCCGGAATGAGACATTCGACTCCTGTTGCCTCCCCAGCGGGGGCAGAAGTGCTGCTTTTGTAGTACTGCCAAGGGCGGGCTTGTGGCAGGCAGTCTCGTAGGGGTAGAATGGAGCAGGCACTCAGAACAGGCTAAACTCACTGCAGCCCTTTGCTGTCTTATTGAAAGGTTGTTCAAGCCCGTGACTTCTGTTTTCTACCTATTTCCAGTCACTTCTTGTGTTTTTCCTGCAAGCTTTCAGAGTCTGCGAGTCTGGCCTCCTTTGTAGTGTTAGAAATGACATGATGGAGTTAGTTACTGATAAGTGTTTTCATCTTTCAGGTTTTGACATGATTCGATTGCCTTGGGGTGACCATGGTTGCAATCGAGCTGTCATTTTCATTTTAAACACTATTTTTCAGTGGTTTATGACTCAGATTTTCAAAAACCCTTCAGCTTTTCTGCTGGTATGGCTCTTAGCTGCAGTACATACCATCAACAAAAAAATAGCTACTGTTTTAAATACCTCAGGCTTTTAAAGCACTTCCGGATAAACCGAAAGGTACTGCTGACACACTTTGAGAGATGCTGCCTTTGAAGTACCCTTGAACAATCCACTTTTTGCCTTCCCAGTGGCAGTATGGAATGTAACGAAGGAGAGGCATCTCTCTTGGGTGCAGTGCCTGGGTTACACGTCTCTCGTTCCTACTGGGCAAACCCAAATCAGCGTGTCTGCGAGGCTGCTAATTTTAGCGGAAATTTGCGTGCGGGTAGGGGTGGAGTAGGGACTGCAAGCAATGTTGTCCAGATCTGGATCATTGCTGCAGCAGAAAACTTGGTAGAATTGTTTCCAGATCCATCACTCGAGGGGATTGTGTTTTGTCCTATGATCAAAACTTTATGTGGGTGGGCCCTCAGCAGGCATTGCTCAGGGTTCAGTGACACCTCGGGGTGCCTCTTGCACTATTTGTCCCATACCTTCTGCTGATGTCACTGGAGTCTTTGCACTCCTCCCTGCCCCCAGGGTGTGATGACTGTGCATGTAGCTGCTCTGCGGTGGAGTAGTTTTGCCGTAGGTAGGGAGCTTTGAGAGATGTTTGAGAAGCCACCATCTTTATGTCAAAACAACAGTGTCGGCATGTGTCTTGAAGTCCTACCTTATGTAGTTAATAACTGTAGCTGTGTGGGGTTTATATATATATAACGAAGAAAGAGAAATACGTTTGGAGAACATTTTGTTGTTTCATGAGGAAAGAAGACAAAGGACTCTGCACAATTTAATGTGTATCAAGCAAAAGCCATTTATTGTGCTTCTAAACATTGTTTATATTTAATTCTTATCTTGGTCTACGCAGTCACGCATTGTTTAATTGGTAGCTCTGTTTTGTCCATGCATCTCTTGATTGGTAGCTTTACTTTGTCCATGAGGCAAGCATGCGTCTTTTTTCTGCTTATTTTTTCTTCCAGCATCAGCTTTTTTATCCACAAAGATGTCATTGTTCTTTACTTCCAAAAGGTTAGGCTGGTTCATTTAGTATATGTCCATTGTCCTGTAAATACACAGTTTGACTATCCTGAGTGAGGACTATAAGGCCAACATTTTCATCTTTGCTCTGTTCCTTGTGTTGCAGCAACTTCTTTTCAGTGGGTAAAAGTGGCATTGTTGACTCACCCTGCATCTGAAGATCTGAAGCTTAATTTGTGTGTCAGCAGGGCCTGCTCAGCAGTGCAGGCTCTGCAGTATGTCTCTGCCAGCAGATGGCCTTGTGCCTCGCCTAATGTGGGAACAGGGATCAGACTGGGGCAGGGTGCAACTCGAGGAACAGGTAGCACACATTTTTTGCTCCTTTACAGTTCCAGCTTTAAAAATGTAAGGTTCTGATATTAAAGTGATTTTTTTTTTTTTTGCTGTGATGATTTGATTTGTGTGTGTGTGTGTTGTTCCTTTTTCCTCCTTGTAATTGTTGTCCTATATCTACACAAATACACTTGGACACACATGGTCACAGTATTCTTATTCTTGCATTTGGTGTTTTTGAGTAGCTGGAATCATTATTCACACCTTATCTGGCATCAAACCTTTTCTTCCCTCTCCAGAAAGCTGCTTGCACCTAAAGAAGCTGATTCTGTTGATGTATTAAGATATTGTGGATTGCTAAGTTTTTGAGAAGGTTAACTTAGCTAGTCTCTCCAGATGAAGAAAAATTTGTCAAGGTGCAATAAAACATGCTTGAGGGCTCAGAGCCCTGTGCATTGTATTGGTCTCACCTCAGAATATTGAATCCATATTTATATTCCAGAGGGAGGGTAATGGGGGAGGAAGCCTAAGATCTGACTTGCTTTTTACTGCATTTTTATCTGTTAAATTATTATAGATTTTTAATTTTAAAAATTGTTTTTAAATACTTGCTTTAGATTTCTTTTGGCACATTGGTAATCTTTAGCAGTTGTTTTGTGCTAAGATTAGGCCATTAGATTAATCATATATTATAACTTACCCAAAGTAGTTCCATCAAACTTAAATTCTCCTTTGACCTAAAACACACATTAGAAGACCATTGTTGGTTTGTTTTTTGCTTTGTTTCAGTTTCTGTATTTTGTTTTCTTATGCGTTCCTGTTTTGTTTCTCCCCTCATGTATGTTCAAGAACAACCAACCTACTTTTGACTTTTTGTTCAAGTACTAGAGTGAATGATCCATTACTCATGCAGCTCGATGGTATCTCCTCCATCTTTGATTCAAACCTCTTTAGTGATGTGACTCTTGTCACAAGCATCAGCTAACACTATTGGGAAATTATCAGAGTGGCCTCAGTCTTTAAAGAATCAGCTCTTGCCCAGTACAGCTTTATGGTGGTTCTATTATTTTCCAGATCTTCTGTGAAACATTGGAACAGCGACCTTGCTGCACCTTTTGCGTTAGGGTCCTGTAGATCAGAGAAGATCTGTACCCACTGTAACTTGGCTATTTGTTGCAGTGTGGTGTGGCCAGATTCTGACAAATGAAGGTGGCCCTTCTCCCTTTGTCTATAAACCACTTGCAATCACCAAGTGATTTTGGGGGTCTGTGGTGTAGTGAAGGGTTCTTTGTCAGCTGATGTGGTAGTGAAGCACTTTGTTGGCCCTAACCCTGTGTTCTGTGTGTGGAGCAGCTGGTATGACAGCACAGGAGAGTGAAAGAAGGGTGTGACCAGAGATGTTTATGAAGGCCCTGTGGGTTTTTTCGTAAGGGTGTTGCCTGATGTTGCATCACATCACAGATCAGGGTGTTCTGGTATGCAGTGCATTTCTTTTAGAAGTAATAGTGATCTGGTAGACTTGCCTGTGGGCCATAGATGATACTGTTTATCTGAAAAAAAACCCACACTAGCAAGAAAAAACAAAATGGAAACAAAATCCAGCCTAGAACAAAACAGGGTGGAAACCAAAAGTGTAGCAAGTCACGGCCTCTAGCAGTTCTCCTCTGGAGAAGGTGATAAAGGAGAACTGTTCATAAACTCTGTCATTCTAAAAGAAAATTGAAACAGACATGTGTCCTTTTTATCATAATTTAACTTCCTGATACAACCCTGGATCCATGCTTTTGTTCAACAGACCCAGTTTGATGACGTCAATGCATTCTTCACAGCAGGGGAAAAAAAAAAACAAAAACAAAAAGGCATTTTTGAAACAAACTGAGCATTTCCTTAGACTGGAAAAGCAAATTGGCTGGATGCCTGGTGGCTCCTACAGCCAATCACCATAACCTTACCATAAATGTAGATGTGTTTCTGTCTTAGGGTTGATTATTGACTTTATTTTAGACATGGGACCATCCTGTCCCAGTCCTCTGTGTGTGCACTGTACAAGGGAGTGCTGAGATTCTATATGCTGCATTATTTACCGAATATTTTGCATATTACATGGGCTGACATAAAATTTGACTTTGTGACTTGATAGATTGTAAATGCATCTGTTGTAATTGTTTTGCAGAACTCTGTATCTATCCAGATCTTGCAGCAGGCAGCTTTGCTTCAGACGTTGGCTGGTGATATTTTTTTCTTTTTTTTCAAGCAAATTGGTCTCAGTTGTTTTTTGAAGATGCTATTACTAAGATTATGCTTTATACTTTCAAAGCTTGGTGTACTGCAAATGCTAACTGTCAAATGTGTAACAGATCAACTATAAAAGCTTTGGAGATAATGTGCTAGGGATTCTAAATGTTCTTCAGAGGTGAGTGAGGAAGTGTTCAAACCTTTTCCCTCCAGGTACTGCTTGGATAGATCACTGCTGATTTAATTTGTTTGTTTCTTCCATTTGTGAGATAAATCCAAGGCTGAGTCCTTGTGCTAAGGATGAGAGAGGAAAGATCTACAGAGAACTATCTGGAGTTAAAAGGTAAAGGTGAATAAAAGTAGATGCACTGAAGATGGCCTTATTAGGTGCACTAGATGGCTTCATTTCCCATGTTGAGTAAGGGATGCTCAAAGAGCCACCCTTCAAGGAAGTTTTCTTTATACTTTTAAAGGAAACAAATTTTAATAAATGTGGTAGTGAGGAGGAGAAGCTAAGGAAATATTTTAAAGGGTCTTAGCATGCTATAATTTCTGATATCGCAAGAAATATTACATCTTTGGAATTCAGCTCCACTCTTTTGCTTTGCTCTGTCATGCTTCTCTTTCTGGGTTATCATCTGACAAGTGAGACTAGCACACTTAGATAAAAGCAGTGTCTTGTGGCTGAGACTCCAAACGCTCTTGTTTTCGTTTCTTTTGATATCACTTAACCTTTGAAATTCTTTGGGGGTGGGGAAGACACAACAGTGATGTGAAAAGCCTTATCCCTCCCACTAACATCTCAGATGCAGCCTGGCATCCGCCGTGACATCAGAGCCAGAACAGGATGCAGTGATCTTACTCTCGATGTTTGTCTCCTGGGCACAGTTCTGTGCTTGTCAGCAGGACTTGTGTTTCAGGTAGATGCTCAACAGCTAAATCCTGGTAGAGAGGGGCTGTTGTGGTAGGAAAAGAGTTTGGAGGCCAGGGAGTTATTACTGTTCCATGCCTTCACCGACTCCCCCACTTCTACCACACATTTGCACAAACAGAAGAGAGGCCTGGGTAGCTGCTGAAGCTACAGGAGTGAGTCATATCTTCTTTATTCAGCTATACAGCCCACTGCATAGTAAGGTTTTGTGAGCTGTAGCAAATGGATTGAGTATGTAGTACAGACTGATTTATATTTCTGTCAAAATGCAGTGGATTGTTTTCTGTTGGTGGTTCACATCAGCAATTAGATGATGTTCTTAGATAGCTGTGCATCTCTAAAGGTGGTCATAACAAGAAGGAATGCAGTGATGTTAGCTGTCTGAAGCAGTCTGTTCAATTCCCAGATAAGCCATCAGTGTTATTTTTCAGCTGAATAATTTCCCAGATACTTCTTGGAGGCCAGTATTTTGAAAGAGACATCCTTTCCACACTGCACAGTAGCTGTCTCTCCTGCTGTCAGCCAGCTCAGATGCAGGAATGGGATGAGGGACTGCAGAGGGATGGACAGCAGAACATGCATTTTTTGTTCCCTGGAATGGGCAGCAGAGTCAAGTGGTAGTGCAGGCCATGGCTCTTAAAGCCACAGGTTTCCCGTGTGTTTCTCCCAGCTTGGGGATGCTCAGAAACCTCCCTGCCTGGAGGCAGCCAGCTGAGAGGAGAGCAGTTCCTCAGTTTCATATGAGAAATGAAGAGGAATTCACATGCCTTTGCTATTAGTGTAGGGAAATGGTCTTACCTTCTGGAAGCAGAGGTTTTGGACTGAATTCTCATCTTTCAGTTATTCACTTCAGAGACTTGTGGGTTTTTTTTTTGTTTTGGTTTTTTTTTTTTTTTTTTTTTTTTTTTTTTTTTTTTTTTTTTTTTTTTTTTTTTTTTTTTTTTGAGATCAATGGTAGTTTTGATATTGCCTTGATTGAATCTAAGGTTTCACTACCTATGCATAGGTAAAGATATTTTATAGCAATGCCTGGGGATTTGCCTCTCTCAGGCTGGCCACCAACCCCTTCTCCATCAGCTCCCTGAAGGGGCAGCATGGTCTGTCCTGCACTGGGCCATGGCAGAGCCATGTCACAGCTTGCTGCAGTGAAAGGCTGCTGGTACATAGGGGGCTCACCTGAAAAACAGGATCTGACAAAAACAAGTAATGGAAGGATAATAATTTATTAAAAGCAAGGTGATAGGGAAGGTTTAGCCCTCATGAAAACAGTAGCTTGTATTGTATGCAGAGTAAAAGAACACAGATGTTAACTCCTTTTCCCAAGTGTGGTTATCCCCTGCTCCTTCCAGCCCCTTTTCCTGAGGCCTCACACATTTGCAGTGTGAGTGGTGTTCAGTCTCTAATGCAATAAAATGCTATAGCAACACTGTTTTATTTAAATGCGATTCAGAAAGGGGGATGTGATTGTGCTGAAGATCTGCTAATTGCATCATTTTCTCCTTGTATTAAACAATGTGTTCATTGCATCATTTTCTCCTTGTATTAAACAATGTGTAGGGAAATGATTTATATTATATTGAAGAGGTCTGAGCTTTTGACCTTGTAAATGAATTCCCAGAGACAGCTAAATACAATGCAGTAAGTAATGGGCTTTAATTAGGAAGCTGGAAGAGTTGTACATAGTTCTGGTATCCTGATGTGGAAACTATCCAGACATTTTCAGGATCCTTGTACAGCAGTGTTGTGCAGCTGTGAAAGGAGTCACTATGCCTTCAACAAGGTTCTAGCAAGGAACTAAAAGAAAGGGAAACTCAGGAAGTACTTACAGGACTGACAACATGGTAGAAACTATAATTCTGAGACTTATCTTTTTTTAGTGATGTTACTGGCTTGCAAGAAGAACAAAAATGGATCAAAAAGCAGTTAAGTTTGCAGAAATCTCCCACTGGCAGGTTAGACCTGAGTCCTGACAATTTTCATCTCCCTTGAGACCAGTAGTACAGTAATTGGTCCTGAAATGGGCTGGAATGAGAAAAAGTTTTAGAGAACTCTGAGTTTTTCCATGTTCAGGAGGCTGATTATATTTGTTTCAGAATTATATATCTTAGTCTTCCTTACAGTCATAAAAGAAAAGGAACAACATTTTATTTTTTGGCCTGTAAGGGAATTTGACCAAGCAGTTAAAACACATTTAGTGGAAGAGGAAAAGAAAAACCTAAGTTTGATTGGAAAATGCTTTTAAACTTTCAGAAAACCAATGAAATTATTGAACAAAAATAGCATGGTATCTGTACTTTTCCACAGTTCTTATGGCTGCCTATAAGAAAGAGGAAGAGGAAACAACCTTATGTAACTAAGATGCATCTGCAAAGCAAGGACCTGCTTCAGTTTTCTTGTGAGGCTTTAGCATCGTTTGGGAAGCAGTTTATAAACTGAATATTCTAGTGCATGAGACACAGCTGTGTGCTAAGTGACCAACCATCAGCAGCTCTCTCCTGGGGCACCACACTTTGTAACAGGAGGATCTCCCAGGGCTGAGCAGCAGCCAGGATGAGTGCAGGGAGGTGTGACAGGCAGGCTGGCACTGCACATGGGGCACGGGAGAGCTCCAGTGATGTCCTGTCCTTCCTGCAAGCTGCACTGAGTTAGGCACCACGTTCCTGGGTGTGTTTTCATCAGCCAAAATGGCATTCAGCCAAAGTGCCATGGGGGCATGGGGTAAGAATCCTTCTGCACAGGTCACAATGCAGAGAGCCTTCTCAAGGCTTCCTAATATAAACAGAATTCTGTTGGAGTGAACTCTGTTTCATCTTAGATCTGTAATGTAGGTTGTAGCAAGTTATAAAAATACATACATGCTAACACAGATTTTATCTGTGACCTTTTTCTGTAATATATGTTATTGTTCAGATCACTGATAAAGGCATTAAGATGTACAGGCAGTGCTGGGTCCCACAGAATTCCACCCACCCAGCAGTGATTTCCCTGCACTGTTATGCTGTAAGACTTCAGCTTCAGAGGCAGCTCTCATGCTACTCTGTATATGTTGGATCTGCAGTTGTTTGGTTTTTTAAATATTTTAGAATGCAAAGGGGTTCTGAGGGCTTTTACAACTATGTTTATAATATTCCTCAAAAAATTACAAGAAGTCATTTTTATACAGCCTTATTCTCAATTTTTATTATATTTTTGCCCTTTATTTTTGTTGTTTGAATTCTGTATTTGCAGCTGTGATAGGTTGACTTAGAGTGGTGTGTTCATCTGGCATGATTGTAATTAGCTACTTCTTGTCATTACATGCTTGAATTTTTTGTTAAACTGCCTTTCTTCCTGGGGAAAACCCCACAAGCATTTTAAAGGGCTGATGAAAGTAAGTGTTGATTTTTCTGGAGGCACTTTGGCCTATTTGTAACACCTGTGTGGATGCAGGCTATTCATGCCTGCTGCAATGTCCATGCCCAACTTTATTGATGGTTCTTTTAACATCCTCTTGCAGTGGAATTGAAATCAAAAAAGCCCCCAAAAGTTTTTGCAAACTTTCGAATTGACTTCTGACTTCTTTTTTTTCTGATACAGACAATGCACATGTATTAAATATGACTGCATTGGCCACAGTATTTTTTTACTTTTGCATATAACAGCATACACTTTCATATAATAGCATGCCAATTCCAAAAGTGGGTTTCCTTTTTATCCAAAGGTATTTCTAAAAGTATGTGTTCACTTTAGTCACAAAGGTGGTAGATTTCTCCTTGTATATTTTGTACATTCTTTGGTTTATTGCCACTTAACGCTCATTCCTTCACTGTTATTTAGTGGTTCTTGTGAAGTTAAAAAAAAAAAAAAAGTTCAGCTGCGCTCTCTTTTGTTTGTAGGTTGTGCTGAGTGACTCATACAGAAGACAAGGAAGTTGCAGTGTGGTCACATCTCCTTGTCCTGCCCAGCAGTGACACTTAAATTCTGAATGCTCTAAACCCAGTGCCAGGAGCAAGAAATGGAGACCAGGACTCAGCCTTTGGGAGAGGCAGGTACCAGCTTGGTGACGTTTGTGGTGAGAGTGACTCCACAATTTGCCATCATCTAGAGCCAAAAAGTGAAACTGTGGCAGTACAGCAAATTATTAAATTTGCTAGTGAAAGAAATTACCTTGTTGAGGTCCTTTTCCTCATGATTTGCTGGAGAGCCAGGCATATTGGCTCATACAGGAGTTGAGCTGTGATAGAAACAAGCATTCAGAGCCCACAGGTTTAATCTGTAAGTAATTGGTCCATGAAACTCACTTCCAGCAAATTTCTCTTGTGGGAACCATCTGATTCCTTACAATGTGCAAGCTCCTCTTGAAACCTTGCTCTTGGTGAGATAGTAACAGGACAACCACTTGCAAAAATTTGGGGGGAACTGATGTCCTTGTTGCTGTCAGTCTGGGAATGTGTTGGCTGTGGAGCTGGGAAGTTTTGTGGAGAAGGACCCCTTCGCCCTCCCTGTCCCACACACAGGCTGTGTAGGTCTGACTTCCCTAGAAGACTTCTTTTTTTATTATTTTTTTTTTTCCACAGTGGTGTGGTGGGAAGATGTCATTTACATTTTGACAAGTTTGGATAACTTGTTGCTGCAGAGGTTCTAATCATGGGGAATCTGGCCCTTGAGAAATATTCCAATATAACATTATTGCGAGGCCTTATCTAGAGTGTAATTTTGGACAGTTATGTCAGTATGAGCTGTGACCAAGCTACTGAGGTGCTGCTGATAGTTTGGACACAGTGGGTGAGAGCTCTGCCCTGGCCAGTGGCCTGAGGGCTTACCCAGAATCTCTGCTGGATTTGCAGCTCCTGGTATAGACAGTGTTCCTTTGACTGTCTTTCTGACATATTTGTTGTTTTCATTGTAAGATTAGGGATGTCTACACCAGTTAGATTGTGAGCTATGGGAGATGCCTTGCAGATAAAATGCAGAGTTTATTTCTACAAACACACACACACACACACACACACAAAAACCCCAAAAAACCACAAAAACCCCAAACAAACAAACAAAAAAACCCAACCAAAAATCTTGAAAGGCATTCAAAACTATGTATTTAAACTTATGTCAAATTTATGGAGAGAAAATATCTAATATATCTGCATCTATTATGTATGAGGATATGGATACATACTCCTGTCTTAAGAAATCCTTTTGCTTTACATAAGGAAGGAGAGAGGATATAGGAAGAAAATCACTGTAGGTGTCCCATTTCTTTCCAAGCATCTGCTATTAGGAAATCTCAGACACAGGATACTGAGCTGTATGGATATCAGCCTGACCCAGCAGAACTTGTGTTTATGTGCTGTTTATTTACCTAAGAAGGGTGATGGGGGAGACATTATCTCATTTTTGCTTTGAACATGTTCCTTTGATTTTGAATGAAGGATAATTTTACCACATTACCATAGAGGAAGATACCTTGTTAAGAAGATGAAGGAAGGTTGTGAATTAATATTCTTCATCAGTCTACTTGAGGCCCAGATGGCAAACACTGTCTTCTCCAGCTCTTGAGGAACACAGGCAAAACTACTTTCCAAATTTTGAAGGTTGAAAACTGCCGTATTTGAAAATTATTAGAGCGATTTTGTCTTAGTTGTTAGAGTGGGACCAGTGCAGGAGCCTGACAATCACAGAGAAAGCTAATCTATGGGTCTGACAGTTTATGGTTAATCTGACACTTTACAGATGCTTACTGTGTGACAGCTGCAATGAATCAGGTTATTAGAGCAACTTTCTGCTCCCTGAAGCTTATTTATTCCTATCTTTCTCTAAATAGGGGGTGGGGATGTGTAAAGCCTATCAATGAGGTAGAGGAGAGGGCCTGAAGCCAGACAAACCAAAACATTTAGAGATTTTGCTAATGTTACGATGATGAAAGGAATCCCCAAATAAAAAGGAGCCAGAGACTTATTTAGCAGAGCCTCATTCCTAAACAGCCAATTGCATGAAGGCAGGAAGGTTTCCATGCACATCTCAGAAGTTGTTTTCCCTTATAAAGTAAAGCAAAAAGATTACTTTATTCACAGTCTTCTATAGCCTGGGATAAGCCTGCAGCTTCTGTCCCTCCTTTACCAAAAAGGTATGGCATCTACCCACTGGTGCTGGGCCTCTGAGCTGGCATTCTCTGGGCCAGCTGGAGCCATTTCCTAGGCATGGCTGGATCTACAGCCCCTGCTGCTGTGGAGGCCCAGGCACACTTTGTGTTCGTATGGCAATCCACAGTTACTGAAAAGAAAGAACTAAGGAAGGTGCAGTTAAATTTCCACTGACATATTGAAAGATGTTGGAAGTCAAGTCAAGAGAGTTCCCAATGTGCATTGGAACTTTGCTAGTATCTCTATTAAGAGATCAGGGGAAAAGATATTGAAGAGAGAGGCAAAGTTAATTTATTATCTTTTTCTTTTGCTGATTGTACTCCAGACATACTCCTGTGATGCAGACTGCAAAAGGGTTTAGCGTGGAAAACCTAAGAAGTTCTCAGGGGGAGGTAAATAAACACCATAGGTTTTGGCTATGGATACAAAGAAAGAACAAGAACCTTGGGGTAGACACACCAGGAAAATTGTGCTCTGCAGTTTCTGTACAAATGAGGGGGATAGGGACTGAAAGGCAGCAGAAGTTGGTGTTGGAAGTGGCCTCCAGAGGGAAAGCTAAACTACTTTCAGGAATGGTGTTTTGTTCTTTTCCTTAAAAAGCAAGCACAAAAAAACACAAACAAAAAACCCAAAGCCCCACTCTATATATATAGATATGTTTCAGATGAGCTCTTGTTTGTCCATAGCTGCAGAGGAGGGTTCAGAGGTTTGATCCCCAGAACCTAGGCTTGATTCTCAGACTTTTTCTATGCAGTTCTTTTTAGGTTCTCATTCATGTCTCATTCTTCTGAGTTCATTCTTCCCTCTGTCCTTGCCCCTCTGGCAATGACCTAAGTTACTGAGAAGAAAAGGTATAAGCTACTAATGTAATTTTTTTCACATGAGCTTTTATGTACAGAAATATTTGTGTGATCATAACTTCAGCATGGAGCCATTAAAAAGAAAATGAATTCTTTTATTCTATAATGTCCCTGAAGCTGGACTGACTTAATTTCCTTGTATAGTTCACCTGTTTGCCTGCCTTCCTTCCTTCCTGCCCTGGCATTTTCCATAATGTCCCACTGCAGGGACGAGCTGCCTGCACTGCTCTTCATTGTGCTCTGGAGCTGTGGCTGGGCAGCACTTCTGCATTTTCCCTCTGCTGTTGCTGTTTATCCATTCACTACTGCTCAGTCAGCCTCTGGGCTTACTTCTTCCTTCTAGTCTGCCTGTGCCTGTCCCTAACAAATACCCTTCATATGGCAGCTCCTTCCAAAGAGCTGGTGTTTACTCTGTATCACCACACCAACAACTGCCTGCTCTGAGCGAGACCCTGTGTCAGCTGTGTCTTTTTCATGAGCACCCTGATATCTTCGGTGCCCATGACAGGGAAGGTGGTGTGTGGTCCCCACCCAAATAACCACTCCTCAAAGCAGCCAAGGGGGTGCTGCTGCCACCACTGCCACCAGCAGTAATTGTGGTGTGCACCAGGGTAAGGTTACAGCAATCATGACAAAGCTTAACAGAGGTCCAGTCTCTGGTATCTGTGTGGCCACTGTCTCCTTCACTGTCAAAGGTAGAAAACTGTTGCCTGTATTTCTAGCTATGCCAAGGAGCAGTGTGGGTGAGGTACCAGCTCTGCTGAAGGATGTTTACTTGGCTCTGCAACCTCACTTGTGCTGGACCCACCATAGTACCATCACCACCAAGTGTTTTTGGGATTGTGAACTTCTGCTCAGTAAGGCAGAAAGTTTGTGTTCTATTGAATCTTTGTCCCAGTCTAGATATTCAAGGATGATGTTTCTGATAACCTTGGAGTGTGTTTCTTCTGATCTAAAAGGTAATTGATGCTTGTATCGAAATCAGACATGATACTGCATTGATGGGTTCTGCTGTGTGAAATTCCCATTCCCCTTGACCAAGCTTCCCTGATCTAATACCATATGTTCTATATGAGGTATGCAAGTTTTCTCAGCTATGTTGTTGAGTGTTGTTTAAAAACCAAAGAATTTGGTTTTGGCTGTCCTTGGAAAGTCAGTTGGAGATATGCAAAAAAGGGCCTCTTTAGATCTTCAGGTTTGGGTTGGTTACCTCAATGGGTTTTTTCTTTTTCTTGCCCTTTTTCTTTCCTTTTTTTTTT